AAAGTTACATATTATAGTTGAAAAACTGTCCTCAAAATTTTATGATTTATAAACTCCTTGGTTTTATTAATTTGATAAATATCATATGCTTGTTGATTGTATCACTTACATTTTCTAACAAAACTTTCCACAGAAAAGAAATATACTCATATTTGAAATCCAAAAACAACTAAAAGAGTTCAAAAAGGAAAACATTCTCAGAGACCTTAAGGCCAGCCCCAGCAAAGATCCAGTGACCACTTGATCATTTAACTCTAAGCCTTCAAAAGAACATAGGCCAACCAGATACTTTCAAAGCAAAAAGTGAAAGAAAAAAAAAGAAGAAAATGTATCACTCACCCTCCCAGAGCCTAAACAATCCCAGTGCCTGATCTGTGTCAACTTCTATGTGTACAAAGAACAGGAGTGTGTTAAAAGATAAATGTCAAGTGGAAAATTAAGGATAGTGAGCATAAACAAGCTAGCTTATTTAAATTTAACTTTTCTACTTTTAACTCTAGGGAAAATGTTTGCTAAGCCTGCTTCAAGTTTGACAGATATTGCCTGAGCAAAATGAAAATAGATGTACTGCCTTCTAAGAACTTAAGCAAACTTTTTAAAAAGAGGCCCCAACTAAACACAGAACATATTCTGCCTCAAATATGCTACTCCTCTTAATGTCTACCTCCATCAGAAATCATCTCCCAGGGGACCTGAAAGAGACGGGGACTCATTTTGTAACGTGAGGCTTTTTTCATGTTTTATTTCAGGTCTCCTCAAGACTGATGGTTTGAGACCTCAAAGTTACATTCCTTATCCCTTGAGTCCCTTTCCATGGTACTCAGAGACACTGAATGACCTACTTGCCTCAGTGGATTTCCAGTCTCCCAGCCCAAGGCAGGCAGAAGTAGGTCCCAGAGCAAGCTCAGGTGAGTGCTTGAGGAGTAAGGAAGGGGCCCAGTCAAAGCACCTGTTCAACACTGGGCCCCTGTCCTTCCATCACAAGGAGCAAGTGCTGTGCGACAAGGGAAAGTGGGCACAGCGCCCCTCTTCCAGGAAGGGAATTTTCTCTGGTAACTAGAGACTGGGGACAAAGGGGAAGGAGCATCCGAAAGCTGGGAGATAAGGTCGGGAATGTTACGCTTCTCCCAATGGCTGCTGTTCTCAAAGATCATCTCTGGAAAATGTGCTCAAGGGAGGACACAAGTCTTCAGCCTGTTGAGTGCCCCTCACAAACATTTCTGTACCTTGCACTCAAGGCCTGTGCTTAGAATTATGCAAAGGTCCCTATTCTTACCCTCAACTATGTAAATTCTGCAAATTAAGAATAAAAGAGTAAGTTCATATCAGTGGTTTGCATTATCAGGACACAGATCTAGGAATCCAGTACAAAAGGACAGAAGCTGACATTTCAAGGAGACAAACATGGTATTTGGTTAGGGGCAGGAAGGTGGGGGTTTAAAGTCACGTTTCACAAATACAACCCCTAGGGCCTGAAAGTATTCTATCACATACCCCTCTTATCTGGCTATGAATTCCTGTTCACCCTCACCAAACCTGCTTTCCAACTTGTATTTCATCTCTCTCTTCGGCAGTAGCAACTTTCCAACTTTCGCCCAGTTCCTATGATTTCGTTAATCCTTTGTATCAAAATAAATCGTCTGAAAGAGTGTAACTGAGGAGCCACAGATAGATCTGGGGGTTACTAGAATCCAAATACTCTATACTCACATATAAATGTCCCAAATTAAATATACAGTAGTTTCAAAACATACATAAAATAGTCTAACACTAAAAACTCATAGTCTATACTCACAGATTCTATTTTAAGGAATTTTCAAAATAAAAAAGCTACGCCCAAAGATGTTCATCACAGTGTTATCAAAAACATACTGACAATGAGGGATGACTAAGAAATTCCAGCACAATTACTAATAGAAAATTGTGCAGACATTTTAATAAACTACTGCCCAGTTGTAATTCAGTGAAAACTAATACTATAGAATTTAGAGTAAAAAAAAATATATAAAGCAATATAGCATGATTAAAAGAACATATAAAAAAGAGTAGAAAAAATCACAGTATTAGTAACAACTGTCTTCACTTGATAAGACTACGGTAATTTTCCTTTTCATATTATTGCAGTTTCTAAATTTTTTGTAATTGATAATTGGGGCAGGGACTTTGAAAAAGGCAAACTTACTTGGAATGTGAAAATTTTTACTTGTGTTAAGAAAACTTTTTGTGCATTTAGTTGACAAATTCTTTTAGAACCAGGAAATGCCCCATCCTCTGGAAGGGTCCTCTAGACAAGGATATGTAGAACATGAATGGGGAAATTTGGCCTGCTCAAAAATCTACACCTCTCTAATTACCAGAGCAAACACAGATCTCACGACTGACATAATCTGTCACTATGCTCCAAACAGTGTCAGAACACTTCTCAGCTGAACCTTTGTCTGGCATTCTCCCGGCCTATGGAAATCCTTCCCAGCTCTGAGACTGACTTAACTCATTTCCCATGAAGGCTTTCCTCATCCTCTGATCACCCACAGTCTGGCTCTGATCACTTTCTTGATCCTTTGACTATTTTCTTTTCTTAAGGTATTGTTATAGCCATTAAGTCTACACCACCTTTTGCATGTATTAAGCCTATTCTAAGTTCCTTTGTTAAATGGTCCTGAATAAATATCTTGCACAGCCATGTTGGTATTATATTCAAACTCCAAATGATGTTTTCCAGATAAAACATGCTCCCTCAAGTACAAAGAAAATTGCAAAGGATGGATTTAAAAGGGACAGATCTTTTGCAATATGGAACAAGGGCAGCGAGGGGTGAGGAGGAGAGATGAGATAAAGACAAGTCATGTACAGAAGCCTAATAACTGAAGTTAATAAATAAACATATATGCCAAAAAATGAGCTAAAACATTTAGTATCAACAAGGGGATAAGGGAACTGAAGGAAGAGGGGAGAGCGAGAGGGAAGAGGATTTAAAAAAGAAACAAACTGCAATATGTACACGTGACCACTCCCCAAAATGATCATAAACTACATGAATTGCAAAGATGTACTGATAATTTTTTTAATTATTAAAAAACATGCTGCCTCTGCTTAAAATTTTTCCTGCTGACCATCTACCACTAGGACACGTACTTCCTACCTCTTTGTATTGTTTTTGTTTTTGAAGCAAACATTTATTGGTACATTTTAGATACACATCATAGGGAATACGCACCTGTACATAATACATCCTGCCTCTTTTTTCCCACCCCACTCCATGCCCCCTCCCCTCCCTGTACACAAAAGCTTTGTTTCTATTTTTCCCTCTATTTGCAGTTTTTTTGTCCTTTCCTTCCTCCCCCTCCCTTGTTCCACCCTCTTTCTTTTTAAATAGCAATGAAGCTTTTTTGCTAATTCATTCATATCAATTCTGCTGTTTTCCCTGGGATTCATCAGAATGGACTACAAGATGCCTCACCACAGTTCCGGGTATTGCCAATAGCCATACGAAGAAAAAATAAATGACCTCCAAAGAATCAACCTGAAAACTATTACAGGACCCAACTTCTCTTACTGAATAGCAAATACAGTTTTGTGTCCGTAAGGTCTCTGGCCTATCAATATCCTAACTAACTTAAGCAAGAATTCTCCACTATTAATCAGTTTGATATTTTAGAAATGATGGACTAAATCACTATGTTCCTCCTGCCATCGAATACTATGTCAGTACTTAGAGAAAACGAGCATTTGTACTATAGCAACCTGCCTCCTGCAATACCAACAAGAGTTGCATACTTAAGAGAAAATCCATAAATCATAAATGAAAGCCAGTCGAATGACCTACCAAAAGAGAAAGGAAGACCTAGCATTCATTATTTCTGCAGAAAGAGCACAGAGGTCAAATAATTGATTTTGCTCTGCCCTTCCTAGTCAACAAGCTCCATTTTACTACAACATGCATATTTATTAAATGAAAGGCAACACCTAGGGTAAACACTTGCCTCAATTCCTCCACTTACTTAGTGAGTGATCTTGGACCTTCTCTGTATTTCAGCTCTTCAGTCTATAAAATGAAATTATTGTTTGCAATAGCAAATCACAAAATTGTAAGGAATCAAATAACATGGTTTGAGACTGGGTTTATCTGTGTAACTCCTTGAGCTACATAACTAATAACAAAAATAAATAACAATAACAAACGTTAGCGGGCGTGGTGGCGCACACCTGTAATCCCAGCTCTAGGGAGGCTGAGGCAGGGGGATCGCTGTGAATTCAAGACCAGCCTGGGCTACACAGTGAGTCCCAGGTCAGTCTCAACTACAGAGTAAGACCCTGTCTCAAAAAAACAAAATAATAATAATAATAATAACAACAACAACAACAACAAATGTTAGCTAAAGTTTAAAACAAAAAGATTTTCAGATTTCTTTTTACTGTCCTGACTGATTTCTCCAAGACCTGAGCATCCACCATATAGCACTACCAAAAAAATGTGCTGAACATCTCTTGTTCTGACCCAGCTCTTCTATGTAGTTTGTCCAGACATTATTTTTTGCTAGATGCTTTCTAAGAAAACAGTATTTTTCCATATGGTTCAAAAATGCTCTTTCATAATAAAAGAATGAAAACTCCACTTGCAGGAAGTTTCCAAGTTGTCACTGTTGTTATTTGATAGCACTCCTGGGAAACTTAAGTCTGCGCTTACTATCTAATACTGCATGAACTTGTACACCTGGACCCATTACTCAGCGATACTGTGGAAGGTCCGTTTGGAGTCAGGAAGACTTGCGTTCAAATTCCTACTCCGTGACCGTCCGAGCGTAATTTAACATCCCTGCTCCTCACTTTCCACATTTGGCTCTGAGTTGTGATGATTTCGTGAAATACTATATATAAATGTAAGAGCCTAGCACCTGAAAGTATTATTTCCCATCTCCCTCAAATCTTAAAGCGCCAGGACCGCTCAACCCCACCCTGAACGCAGGGCAACTCCGACAGTCAAGGAAAAACGCCGAGACCTGAAAGTGGCTAACCGCAGGCACCCAAGGCTGCGAGCCGCGGAGGAGCGGAGAGGAATCTGTAACGGCCCCGGACCTCACTCGGAGGCGCGGAAAAGACGCTGAGCCCCCACACTTTCGAGAGCGCAGCGACAGCGCGGGAGCC